TAGGGATTCCAGGGGTTGAAGGGTATATTACTGGGTGTGAAAGGGTTAATAGGCTTCGATTTCAGAATTTGTGACTTGGACTTCCGGGTTTGTTGCCTATAGTCGGGTCCTGGGGTTGAGAGTCTCGGAGGGAAGGGGTTCAGAGCTGAAACCCAATACCCATAGACCCTGAACCCTAAACATAAACCCTGTATAACCCTAAACCCCTCAGATCCCAAGAGCCAAAAAGTTGGTCACACAAGAATAATTGGTCATGGCCCCGAAACCAAAAATAGGGAGATGGTATAACCCTACAGGTACTGCACAAAGTGCCAGTGTCAATGGTCACCCAGTTCCGCTGCTGAGAATGACGAAACGGGGCATGGTTGCATTCTACGCGTTACAAGGTTGTCGTCTGCGTGTTGGCGCATGTGTTCTTTGTCATGGGCAGTCGTGGATGACTCGCTAAGACAATCTATTGCCTCGATATCTCGTGCCCATCGCTTTGCAGAACACGAACAACCGACTACTGAAACCGAAGCAGGCCATGCCGTCGTTGCTGTCGTTACCGTCCAGCCAGAGCCTTGCAACTGCTTCACTCTCTGTGCCACCAAAGCACTCTTGCGCCGCGATGGAGGTCTTGCCGCCCACTGCGACCCGACCGCCAAGGTCCACCTGGGGCACCTCAGGGGTTGTGCACTTGCAGCTGAAGGTTCATAGAAGCATGGCTGGTTCTGTGCTGTCGGAGTGCCTGGGATTAGTGGGATTAGTTTGGGAACGACATCTTTAGATCAAAGGTCTCCATGTCATGCGATCCACACCCAAATACCTCAGCTCTTGGGTCTTGCACAACAGTCGTGAAGTCTTTAGGTTCGCGGCACAGGGATACCGGAACCGTGTGGCCGTACAAGGCCACGAAAACACTGCAACGGGCATGTCACGACAAGCAAGGAGGACGTTGAAGCCAAACTGTACAGTTGCCATGATCCTCCAGCATGCAGTGCAGATCATTGCAAACTTACGATCGTAAGTTCGGAGCTGTCTGCAAGACAAGGAGATGACAGCCTGAATCTGAAGTCTCACATCGATCCCTGCAAACGAAATCCCACACTCCTAAGCTCAAAGCTGAGACCATGGATGTTACTTGGATGACAGATACGCAGAACAAGTCTTCCATGCTCGGCCTCCCCTTGACGGAAGCCCTTTACCCTAAACGCCCTCCAAAGGAATCAACGTCCGGTGGCCTCACCGAGCATGCCGAGCACCAACGTGGTCTTGCCAGAACCCACCGGCCCACACACAACACCTAAGGTAGTTTAGTAGGACTCGAAGTGGGTGGGTGGTTGGGGGGGGGGGGGGGGGG